GATATAGGATAAAGCAATAAACAACACCAATTTATAAAAATTTCGGTTTAATAAATTATGTAAAGATCTGTTTAAAAGATCTGCATTAGATTGGGTTTCCTATTTGAATTATATTGAATTGTTCTGTTTCTGGGTAAATAATACAATACATAAAGTTTTGACCTGAAACGGTATTAATTATTTTTCTTTAAAAGTCTTAATTGAAGTTGAAATCAATCTTCATTGCTTTGCGCAATCAAAATCTCATGATTTTAAAAGTCGTGCACTCTTTTGGTTCGTTTTTATTATTCTTTGCACTTATAGCTTTGGTTTGCTTTCTGATTTGAATTATATTAGATGGATTTGTTTATTAGGTATATAATCCTAATTTTTCATAATCATATTGAATTTATTGATGAGGTACTGTACTAATTATTTTATTTATGCAGTTTTATTTGTAGCCGAACTTAATATTTATCAATTTGTGGAATCAGGATTTATAGTGCATGCAATTTATTTGTTCAATTCTTTTACCATTTGTCATTTATTGCTATTCATTACTGCGTATTTTTGGAATTGGGCCCAAATTAAGAACCCCAAATTATTATTTAATTATCGTGATTATTAATAATTATTACGTGTCAATCACATGACGCATTTATTAAAATGAACCCCAAATCTAATAAAACTAATATCGTTATCTCGTCAAACCCATTCCCTCACCTTAAAACCCATCTCTTTCTGTAAAATTCGGTTGATCTGTTTATGGTATTTATTTATTTATTGAAATTTTAACGTTAAGTAATTAATACATACATACTTACATACTCTATTTTTAGTAACTTTAATGGCTATCATTTCGAAGTTCGAATGTAACGTATGTGGAAATTCATACAAAACAAATAGAGGACTAAAAAGACATCTTAACATTGTTACAAAGTACAATGCTTCACGTCCTGACCTCGATATTTTACCTGAAAATACTATACAACAATTTAAAGCTATTTTAGTTCACTATATTTACAAACGATTACCAAAAGAATCTAAGCAATTAGGAAAACAATCAGTATCAGTTCCTGCTACGGAAAGTCAATTTTACGCAATATTTAAAAATTACATTCATTATTACTCTGCATTAAAAAGCAAATATAAATGTATATTTCATGGAAGTTCTTCTAATCAATTGCTACCAAGTATTTTAGATGCACAAAATTGGGGAATCAAATTTTATGAGCAACGACAATGTACTTATATCGTACTTTGTGATGATAAAGATACTATTGATGCTGAAAATCCTATTGTACAGGCAATTGCATGACAAGCAGCTTATAATAAGAAGTTTTATAAACCAAAATATAAACGGGGACAATTAATAGTAGAATGGAAAAAACAAAAAACCACTGATATTAATGGTAATATTACTCAAGCGGGGCATATTTATTTTTATTTTTATATTAGTCAAGCTATAATTTAATTAAATTACATGCAGGGAATTATTTAATTTAAAATAAAAAAATAATTTAACTGTTTTATGTTTTTATATGAATCTTTGTAATCGTTGATGATCTATTAAAATATTATTATAATAAAGAATTCTATTTTCATATTGCAGAATTTCCATAATTGCATTACTATCATGCATCATTTTATAAAAAAAATATGATATTTGCTGATGATTTTTCTTTTCTACACCACTGCATGAAAATGCTGCTAATTCCCATTTTTGATGAATTGTCATAAATTCGGAAATATGATAAACCAATATATGAATATACGGTGTCATATTAGCAGGTTGATATAAACCTCTTTTGAATCTTTGAGTATTTGGAGTTTCTTCAGATAGTAGTAAAAATAAGGCAAGCCATTTTTTTGCATAATACTGAAAGTCTTCACCTTTTGTTTCAGGATTTTTTATCATTCTATAAAGTTCATAAAACTTATCCCATAATTCTCTTATAATGCTAGCATGATTTTTTGAAAAAATTTTTGATAAATCAAAGAAGCGCAATACTTTAATCTTGTCTTCTCCCATTAAGGAGGTATAGTTCCAATTCTTAGATTTCCAATTTTGCCAGAATTGAAAACTAACTTTAATTCTACTTATTTCTTCTACAATAATTTTCCGTGTAATATCATTAAACAAGTTATATTCAATTAATTCTGTTATCACAAGATTCCATAAGCGATCAGTGACTCTAAGCGTAATATGCAACTCATCAGGAATCCAACAATGAAGAGGTATTATATTAAAAAGTGGTATTTTTAAATGTCCCTTATAGTAATTTGGATGTTCAACTAATATATCTATTCTTTTACAAATTTTTCATTCAAATGATAGATTTCCTTGTTGTGACTTATTGATTGTGTACCATGGACAAAAGTTCTGGCTATTAGCACTATTGAAACCTAAGCAAATTGCTAAAAATTTCCAGTCTGATGAAAAGTAAAACTGAAAGTTCCATTTAATATTATCAACTATTAATCCTTGATCCCTTAAACTAATTAAATCATTATAAAATGGAGCTGTTATATTCATTAATATCTCATAGTTTTCAGACCCAAGATAAAGTACAATTGTGTAATGATAATCTGGTTGTTGTAATATATTTTTATCATCTAAAACAGCTATTGTTATCATTATGTGCTTTACTCGTCATCCAATATTCCGTCTATCCTCGGATATTCGAAGATTTACAATTGGTTGCTGCAAATTTAAAATTCCTTTTTGGATAAGATTTGGAATTAAATATTGCAAAATGTTTTTAATGCTTCTATAGCCACCTTTACCAATCATATTAACTACTTCTTGTGTTACAGGCTCATCATTTATATCAGCTTCTTCAGCTTGACTAATTTGATTTTCAGTAATTATATCTATAATAGATATTGGTATAATCTGTGCTATTTTTTTATTTATTGCTTGACGTTCTTGATATATTAACCTTTCAGGTGGTAAATGTAATTCTATAGCACGTAAATCTTGGTAAGAATTTCTTGAAATGTTTCGTTCATCAAATGTTTTAGCAATCAACTCAGTTTTTTGCTTTTTTTTTATCTTATCATTATCTTTGTAATTAATTTCATAAGTATGCTTTTTTACCGAATAACTTAAACTTTCTAATATTGGTATATCATCAGAATTATACAATTCTAAAACTTTATTATTAAATTCGGTTAACATTAACTTTCCAACATTAACAGCCCGTTTTGTAAGATTAGAATTACTGCATTGTTCAACTTGTTTTAATGCGTTTGAATGTCAATTTGATTTTCTTGCTTCATTTAATACTCTGAGATGAAGGCCAAATAAATATACTCCCGATGTTTTAGTTCCTTTTTCTGGTATATATTTCTAAAACATAAATTCTTATTAATTTATACATATAAATGTAAAATATTTCTTAAAATAGATATTAAATACGAACTTTATGAAATAAATTTGCAGCATCTGTAACTGTTTTAGTAGAAAACACTTCATATTCGAAGTATTTTCCAAAACATATTTGAAAAACTGGACCTTCTTTATTATAGTTAATAGAACATTGAATTGTACATTGGTTATTGCCTCTACCTCACGTAGTTTCTATTGTATAATCATCAGGGATTTGATATTTTTTTGGCAGAAAGGTATATGCTAATAATGACTTATTAGGATATGTGCCTTCTTTGATAATTTTATATAAAAAACTACGATTTGGTTGTTTAAACTTGATAATTGAATCAAAAGGATAATTATGGATTTCTTGCGCATCGTCCATTGTAAAAAAGTTAAGTAATAAAATATCAATATCGATTAAATTATTTATATCGTATGAGTATATATTTCTTAAATATAGTTAATCATGGTCAAATCACTTAACTCATATTAACATAAGCATCATACATGTGTCATAAATTTTAGGGTAGTGTAAAAATACACAGTAATGTGTCTGAATTATTTTAAAAAATTTAATTCGATATCTGTCCAAGAAAATTTGTTGGAAATTCTACTGTTTCGTTAGTTTCTTAATTATAAAAAATAAAAAGCTCTTTATATATTAATAAAGATTGGTTTGATTAAAAAAATTAACATAATTCATTTACAATCTCGTGATTTATTCAGTATCACATGACTGCAGAATTTTTCTGGGTCACAAAATCTACGCCAACAAATTTTACTGTCACGTGATATGAACAAATATGTTAGGTTTTCTGATCATGTTACGTTATACCTAATCATGATTACAATTGGATAATTTCCTGTAGATCATCATGTGACTACAGAATAGTTTTGATTTTGTTACCGATCATGTGACAGACATTTGGTTAAAAAATCAAAACAAATAATCAAAACAAATAAAATTTTTTTCTCCATACCTAAAGTGCCAAAATGAATGAATACTTAGAATATTCTAATAAATACAAACTTGAGAAAAGTTTTTATCACTTTTGCATTTATACTGCTACCATTAGCAAATTAGATTTGAGCAATAGTGTAGAGCAAACTAGGCAGAACTTTTATAGACAGTGTAACTGTCGTGCCGTTAACCAGTATCCAGTATACTATGTACGGGGAATATTGGACGTTATAGATCGGGACGTCGGTCGTGAACTTGTTCACGATCATCACGTGCCCCCGTGATTAGATAACTCATTATAATTGGATGGGTAATATGTGTAAATCGGGTAGATCAATGATGTAATAATTAGATAGTTTATTATAGTATATAAATTAATTGAGTGATGTGCAAATCGATAAGCAGTGCATGAATAATGTCGTAAGGAGGGTCATAGAAAATGGCGTGATTAGTAATGCAAATTAAAAGGTCAAAATGGCGTGATCCACATATAAGGTAATTTAGCAATAGTATAATTTGTATTTAAAGGCATAAGCGAAATAAAGTCAGTTAGCGAAGTGATTATTACCTGCAAATAAATTGTTGAATCCAAAGTAAATAAAACACTTACCCTAATCAAAGTAGTAAGGTATTGAGGTGATCGTTGGTTGGAGAAGTGCCGCCGTTTGAGTTAGATTAACAGTGAAGTCCCCTTCATTGCGAACCCGCACGACAGTAACGGTTATAGATTATCAAAGACAAAGTTCAGGAAAGTATTAATTTTATTAGGTGCTTTCTTAAAACCCTTGTCTTTATGATTATCGAATGCTTTAAATTTGAAATGCGCTTCTTTGTAAATATAATTGCTTTATGCCCCCCATAGTTTTGTATACAATATAGAGCTTCGCCTTAGCTTTAGATATGTATGCTTTATGAAGCCTCGCTGAGTTTCAACTTAGCCCCTTTGTATACATATTTTCCTTTGTGCCCCTCTATAAATTTATATATACATTATGGGCTTCGCTTTAGCAAATGTGAACTTGTGATTTTATATTATTCTGAAAAAGGAGATATTATTTCTTATCCTTTATTCTTTGAAGGATTAAATAATCTTAATTTATAATCATTTTTATTTAATAGTGAAGAACTAATAGAATTTTGGTCTATGGTTGAGGAAACCAAAAAAACTAAGTTATATACATTATATGGTAGATTTATTGAAAACTGTGCCAAAAATTTAGGCTTTTATGACATTTTAAATCAAACAATCTATGAACCTATTGAATTTATCAATGCCAAGAATTTAATTTTGAAGGTAATCAAGTTTTAATCATTTAAAGAAAATTAAAAAATCTAAAATTTCAATTTTATTAGATCCAACATATGGATGTAAATCCTGTTGCAAAAATAATCAGCCGGGCCTTTCATCAACTTTCTATCGATTCAAATAATCTCCTCTTGTCTGGGATATTAGATGTTGAAAATATAATTGCAAAACATTCGCTAATTAGAGAAGAATTGGAAAAAGAAGATTTATGGAAAACAGTGAATAAGCAATTTCAATATATAACATTAGACAAAAAATTATTCAAATTTATTATAGATATACAACAAGATCAATCCGCAAATATTCCAGAATGCGAAAGTCAATCATTATTTTCTAATACAAGGGATTTGGTTAAGTCTATGTACGTATTGTTGTAGCATAAATCCTATTATTTTCAGATGCAAGAACTAAATTTTATAATCAGGTTAAGGCTGTGGAGAATTTCAGAATATACAATACAAAGTTCTTCAATAAATAAATCAACATGGGAACACGATATATTAGATCCTATAGTAAAATACATTACTTATAATTTAGAAGAAGATATCTTTATGAGATGGTAAGTCTTGTCTTTAAAAAATACAAATATTTTTGATATACTTAGTTTTGTTAAAACAGGAATAATGTAACAAGCAAGGCAAGTCAACACAAAATGGTTCTAAAGGTCCAATAAAGAAAAATGATATATTTGGAGTGCATAAAAGTGGTGGTTATGAATGGGAA